AGAAATACACATACTGACTGTAACTGGATGTTAAGTGATAGTAAGAATACGTGTTGAGACAAGTGTGATAAAAGGCCTCATGGGACAATGTGTTATATATTTAGAGTCGGGGTGTTATGTACAAATTAGTTCTGAGACAACATATCAAGCTCTTAGAAACTGTTCTTACCCAAAAGCTCCAACTCTACACTTGGGCTCAAAAAGACAGATGTCTGGTTGCTTCATTTGTATCTGTCTCCTTACCTTTGGGCCTAACTCCTGATTAACTCAGAGGGCAGAGCTAGCCACTAGCTGAACATGGACATCCGGAGGTCTGTACAGACAGACAGGAAGTGATGAGGCGAGAGGACACAGGAGCTCAGTCTCTTTTTGGCCAGGAAGTTAGGGAGGTAAAGGTGGCTGTGGTTTTGCTCCTTCCTCTCTCTGATCTTTCAACATTTTCCCCATAGCTGATTCTAGGTTTTTATTAGTCGGACTTTTAGAACTCATTCTACACCAACACATGGTATTGCTGGGTTGGTGTATGTGCAGACCGAAGTCAGAATACTGCACCAGTTTTCTTTCTTTCTGTTTTTTTTCTTTTGTTTTGGTTTGGTTTGGTTTTTGAGTATATAACACATTGTCCCATGAGGCCTTTTATCACACTTGTCTCAACACGTATTCTTACTATCACTTAACATCCAGTTACAGTCAGTATGTGTATTTCTCCAGCCTTTTACGTGTGCCACCAACAACCAGATGTGGGCAGGCATGTCTTCTAAAACATGTCTGAGAACAGATTGAGGTTACCACAAAGTGCAGGTTCCAGTGAAGGAGCAATTTTATGAAGTTTAATGGCAACAGAACAAAGAAAGTCACACATACGTTAACATACTTGTCAAGTACATTGGTAGAACACTACAGAAAAAAAGGGACGTCTCCACTGTAGGCTTCAGATGCTCTCTGACAGCATTCTTAGCCTTCTGTGTGGTGGGAGCTAAGTCTATGTCTGAACATTCTAAAGGATTTACCTTTAGAAGCTGTTAGATCACTCATCCAGGAGGACAATAAATGGCTACTAAGGGGGCTACCAATGCAAAGATAGTGTTGACTGTGGACCTGAAACACTCCAGTCTCTCCACACTCAGAGGTGTCAGGAGTAAATCAGAATACCTGGAACACTCCAATTACTGCACAGAGGTCTTAGCAGTTAATCAGATGACCTGGAACACTGCAATCTCTCTACACTCAGAGGTCTAAACAGTTAATCAATCAGACTTGCAGACCGCTCAATGGAAGGCCTTTTGTGGATTGCTCCCTTGGAACTATTAGAAGACTTTCTCCGGAAAGACTGTTATTATTATTAATCTTGTTGATTGGACTATTTATCTCACAATGAAATCCACACCACCATTTACAGGCTTTGGTGTGTTGGATAATGCTACAGGCAAGGCAGAGAGTAGCTGAGAATTTTTCGCCATTCATTAGTGGCTCCAAAATAAGTTCCTGTCTCCACTCTGCTTATTTGAAGCAGAAAGCAAGAGGCCTCTGACAGCACATTTTCCTTAATCTTTGGCAACTGGGGTGTCCAACACAGAGAAGTTTATTATCCCTCACCTCCATAACACCCCAGCCACCATCTCAGGCCCTAGGGCTAACTGGAAGACTTTGAGCTGAACTCGTGAACAAAATGTTTACTCCCAATGCTCACTGGCAGGGGAGCTTTTAGATGGGCTCTGCTTGCGTGTCAAAGGATACTTTACACACACCACACACACACACACACACACACACACACACACACACACACACGTGGATGGACAAGAAGTAACCCTGAGCATGTTCAGAAAAGTACAAGTCATTGAAGCTGTTTTGCTTTGGTTTGTTTAGGAGTTAGATCTTGCTACTTAGCTCTGGCTGGCCTCAAACTCAGGGTAATCTTCCTTCTCGGTGTCCTGGCAGTGCGCAAGCGATTGCGTTCCTATTTAAAATGTC